AAGGGGGGTGGGGGCTTGCAAGCCGTTAAGTTTGACGCTGACTGTACTGAACAAATCTGTTTAGGCAAAAGAGTACTTGGTTGAGCATGGTGGGGAGGAGCTCAGCAGTTCACTTGATGACGTGACTAAGGACGACATCGACTACCTGGTGGAGTTTCTGGCTCCTTTGAACGCGAAACGCGAAGATTCGCCCAACGTGACTGAGACAGGCTACCAGACATTGATAGATCTTTGTAACGTGGACGACGATGACCCTTTTTGGATCGCTGAACTCAAAATGTGTGTCTGGGGAGAACTGGGAGTCATGTCTAGGGTTCGGCTTGTGCGCCATTGCAAGACCCTAGTGACATATTTAAAAAAACTCTGACTGCGGCGCGCCGGACAGCGGGGCGTTAAGGAAGATGGATGTGACTGATCGAGCTGAAACTTTACGCGGCCATACAATCGACCTTTCCCTATCCGATGCTGCATTCGGATTTCAAATGGGTGGAATCATTAAGAAGAAAATTAGCCGCACATTTGGCCGTGCAGGCCCTGGCCCGCCCGACGTTGCCTCTCCATCCCCTTATACTTTCGTGACTGTTAGTTTAGGAATTACAAGTCCGAAAAACGTACGGCCGGAAAGATTGGCTCTGGTCGTTAACCGTATCGATTACGACCGTAAACCGGAACCCCTTCGACAGTAAAACGCTTGACTACGGTCGGAAAGTCTTACGCCGACCGGAAACAATGAGGATAGGTCGGAAATCGTAACAGATTCCGCCTGGAGTGCCAAAACACGGCAATGGAATATTCGTCTGGTGTTCAATGGTTTTCCTTGAAACACGATCTGGACACTTCAGGAAAAACCCTTGAACACTTGACGAAAATAATTCCAAGGAATTCCCTTGAAAGCTGCGGGTTTCAAGAAGAGTCTGGAATTTCAAGGCCCAATCTTGAAATTATCCACGCTAACTGAAAATCCAGGAAATTTCCTCGGATTTCAAGACATTCGTTTTACCGTGTAGTGCTGAGAACTTGCAAATCAAGGCAGGTGCGTATGTAGTAGGTGATTGACGCATGTTGTGGGGTCCGAACTCAATGGTATCAAACGCATGTCTATGCGATACACCAGTTAGGCAATGGGGAATTATGTGAAATTTATTTCTAAGATTTTGGAGGACGTTTTTTGTCATCATTCAGATTTTCCTCCATATTTTAAACCTGAGTATAATTTTTCAGTGGGTCTTTAAATATGGCTAGGTTCCTAGTTGGCTCTCCACGCCTCTCCTGCTCCGTCAACAACGGCCCAAGTAGATGTCGTTGGAGCGGAGGTATTGTTCAAACTTACCTCTTAGCTTTCGAGCACCTCGGATCTTAATTCTAGAAACGGAAAATGAATTCCGGCACTGGACTTGAACCAAGAACACGCTTTTGTGGGTTTTCACCTGTGAAAAGCTGAGAGGGGCTTTGTGGCCTGATCGAAGGGACTCTATTTTTTAGCCCTGCGGCCTATTTTTTTTTTTCTAAATATTTGTGGGTGTACCAAAGGGAGGTAACCGATTAAGAGTTCAGTGTAAGTGTGCCATTTTCTTAGGTCACAGGTCGTCGTTGCGGCGTGGACGTAAGCCAGGAGGGTCCGGAATCTGGTGGTCAGTACGGATTTCCATGGGAGGTTGATTTGTACTTTAAGCGGACGTCAAACCGGAAATTCGAAATTCTCTCAACTGGCGCTCTGATACAGCGCAACCTCGTCATCACGCGTAAGTAGCGGACTTTACAAACGAAATTCCGTCTCTCCCCGGGTGTAAGGATCTAATTCTGTAGTCATCATATCTACAGTTAAATCTAAAGTTAAATTGCAGTTAAAACTTTAGTCCCTAACCAGTTTGCAGGTACCTTGTGAAATCAGTAAAGTTTTTCTATAGTTTAACTACAGTTACCTGCAGTACTGTAAAACTGTTCTTAAACTACAGTTTCCGAGTATAGTATCAAACGGAGATCCTTTCATCCGGGTTGGTTTCTTTAGTATACTAATACTTACTAGCCAGCTTTGTTTGACTCTCGCCGTCAGGTGTAAGGTCAGACTCAACGAGCGGGCAGGCTATTGATCTCTCTGAGTACCCAGTCACTTGGTTGCGGGTAGCTTCTCGTCGGAGCGCAGTTTTTGAAAACCTGGAAAAAGCAGCAAACGTGAGCCAGGTGAGTAAAACGTCAACACGACGCATCCGTGCAACACTGGCGAATCTGTTTAGGACGGACGAACAAGGGCGAATCTGTGAAGGACGGA